AGAGAAAGGACTTTGTCATCTCCAACAACTAACATTAGTTGATAGAGGAATTCGAAAATGACCAAAATTGTGTGAACGGTAAGTCGTTGTGAAAAAGGAGAAAGGTCTTACAACATCCACATCCAACTGCACGACAAACACGACAATCGCGGCCAAACGAATGGAGAATGTAGAGGGTGAGCAGGTGCTCCTGCCATCTCCTCCTGTGCCTTCACTCTCAACACATCACCACCCGCAACCGATCGTGCACTGCACTTGTGATGAAGAACAGTGTGACATTTGCCACAAAGTCATTCTCCATATTGTAAGCAGTAAGGTGACGTGGAAGTGCGAGAACGAAGATCACAAACGCATCAATGTCGACCCCACGCCTACTCGACGTATGCATACGATGTGTCGGTGGTGACAGTAACGGCGATGGTGGTGATGGTGGTGGTGGAGGTGGAAGAGGCGAAGGTGAAGGAGAAGCAGGAGGAGGAGGATGAGGATGAGGAAGTGGAGGTGGAGTGGGAATGGAGTGAAGTGGGGTGTGGTGTGGTGTGGTGTGGTGGGGTGGGGTGGGGTGTGGTGAAGATGGGGCGAGGGTTATATAGCACCGCGTAATATTATGTTAGGCACGATGGGTTGTACGACAACATTACCACGCCAACGAATGGTTGGGGATGGGGCTGCGATCCCGGTCAAACATTATCCAGATACCATGCAGCCATTATCGGAAGTGGGAGAGTGGTGGATGGAGGTGAGAGGATGGGTAAGGGAGGGAAGGGGAGTGCAGGGGAGGGGAGGAGAGGGGAGAGGAGGGGAGAGGAGAGGAGGCGGGAGGAACGTGAACTAGTGAGGATGGCGAGAGGGAGGAATGTAGGAAGAGGGATGGAGGGATGGTGGGAAGAGAGAACACTCGTTAATGGTCAACGCTGCAAATGCTCCATCAAGCCTTTGTGTTGATAAGGCGGTGGAGGATCGACTGACTCTCTCCCCATTCACCATGCCTTCACTGTTCCCACCGATTCGCATGCCCTCACAACTTCCACCAATTCGCATGCTGACACTGGTGAGGTGTCAGGAGGGGAGAGACGAACTGCATCACCTCTCACTCACATCGTCCATCACTTGGGTCACGAGGTGCTTGATTTGGT